TCAACGAGCTCAGCCTCCTCTCTCGGACGTTGGCAGAAGTGATACAACGCGCACCTGTTACTATTTAAACAGGCACTTGCTGAATCCAGCCTCTGACAGGATAAGTAAAATGTGTAGCAGGCATCCCCGCTACACTAACAGAGCAACCTATATTTGTATTTATAGGCTATTTGTATAGGCAAAACTTGTCTATAATTTAGGTAAGTGTTAATAGTCAAATATATAAGTACTCATAAAACGCAGATAACGCAATCTAATTTTATTCATCACAGCATTGGTACTATCCTTAGCAGCCATGAGTGAAGTGCGAAAAAGGCTAAGCGGAGCAGGGTACAAAAAAAATGCCAAAATAAGGAGTGAAAAACAAGCCAGGGAGATTGAACAGACAGGAAAAATGTATCTGTTTTTCACCAAACCTGTGGCCTCTTCTCCTACTGGGCAGGGTGAGGAGGTGATTGAAGAGTTAACTGCTGACATTTGTGAAAATGATATAGTTGCCACATGCAGTTATGACACTTCAGAAGCTAACAGTAATATTGTCAGTGAAACTGAGCCTTCTAAATCTGATGGAGGACCTTCGAGTTCAAGAGAATTTGATGATCCCGACGTACTAGTAAGAGTGAGTTCTGACCCTGCTGAATGGGTTTTAAATTATTATACCTGAGACCATGTGGCTAAACATGGAATAATTCAAAATGACCATCTGGACTTCACACAGTCTAGAAGGGTATATGCCAACACTTCTAGGATGCTAACGAAACACCTGTTTGAAAAAGAAAACTTTAATGGAGAGAAACCAAAAAGGAGCTATTGGGTTTACTCCAAAAGCAAAGGAGTCGTGTTTTGTGCTCCATGCCGTTTGTTTGGTGGCAAATCCCAGTTGGCAAATAGCTTCAATGACTGGAAAAATGGCACAGCTCGATTAACTGAACACGAGCGTTCAGCTGAACACAAATCCTGTGTGCTCTCTTTAAAATCAAGAGCATGGACATTGGGGAGGATTGATGAAAGTCTTAGAAAGCTGCGTTTCGAGAAAATCCAATATTGGAGAAATGTGTTAAAAAGAGTTGTTGCTGCTGTTAAGGCACTTGGTACTCAAGGACTTGCTTTCTGAGAGAAAGATGACCGTTTTGGTTCCACACACAACGGAAACTACATGATGATGTTTGAATTTCTTTCAGAATTTGACCTAATTTTAGCTGAACACATTGCCCATTATGGCAATGCAGGAAAAGAAGTCACATCTTACCTGTCGTTTACTACCTGTGAGAATTTAATTCAGCTTGTGGCTGATACTGTTACAACGCAGATAGTTAAGGAGGCAAACGCAGTGAAATATTATTCGATTATTGTTGATTCAACACCTGATAGCTCCCACATGGATCAGCTAGCCTTCATCTTAAGGTTTGTCAAGGAAGATGGCTTGCCGATTGAGCGCTTTCTACAATTCATTCCAAATCCTGGACATAAATCGGAACAACTGGCTGAAGTGGTCCTCACCACTCTTAAGTCATATGATCTTGATATTGCCAGCTGTTGTGGCCAATCATATGACAATGCAAGCAATATGTCTGGTCATGATAGAGGATTGCAAGCCAGAATTCTGGAAAGAAACGCACTTGCTGTTTATGTTCCATGCTCTGCACACTCTTGAAATCTAGTAGGGAAGCATGGTGCTGAAAGTTGCACTGAAGCCTACTCATTGTTTTGTTTCCTACAATACCTTTTTTTTTTTACTGCTTCTGCTCACAGATGGGAGGTTTTACAAGAACACTTATCTATGCCCAACACCCTATCATTAAAAAGATTATCTGACACATGGTGGTCAGCCAGGGAAGATGCCTGTCGGAGCTTAAATCGTAATTGGACTCAAGTAGTCCAAGCCTTAACAGCAATTAAGGACAAAACCACAGAGGCACTAGGAACACGCAAGGAAGCTGAAGGTCTACTGATTCAAATACAACGTCTGGAGACTGCACTTATGAGTGGTTTGTGGGGTACTGTCCTAGAAAGATTTGGTGCAGTAAGCAAAAAACTCCAAAGCATTGACATTGATGTTGGAATTGTATTGGAGATGTATGAGTCACTGATCCAGTTTGTTCACGACACCAGAGAATGTTCACAACTTATGAAGCTACAGCAATGGAAAAATCAACTGTCAAAAATGACTATGAGATTAAGAGGAAAAGTATACAAGTAGGGAAAAGTTCAGCAACTTCCAGCAAGACACAAGTAGAGGAAGCTCGAGAAAATGTCAGGATAAACACCTTTTATATCATTTGTGACAACTTGGTTGCTGAGCATGAGAGAAGAAAAAACTGCATATGACTCTTTCTTTGGAATGTTTGTAAAATTCATTACAGACCTATCAAAAACTGAGCCATGAGCAATATCCCAGCATGCAAATAAGCTTTGTACTCTCTACAGCAAAGACTTGGAACAGGAGTGTTTTGTTGATGAGTGCCTCCACTTTCGTTCATAACTCATAAGTTCTTCTGCAGAACACACCTATCACGTACCTGGTAGAGAGCTGAGTAGTGAGGAGGCCTCCTTTGCAACTCTGACCACCTCTTGACATTGGTGGTCAGTGAAGAAAAGCTCCCTTACATTGGTGGTCAGTGAAAAACCCCATTACATTGGTGGTCAGTGAAGAAAAGCTCCCTTACATTGGTGGTCAGTGGAGAAAAGCCTCCATACATTAGTGGTCAGTAGAGAAAAGCCCCTTACATTGGGGGTCAGTGGAGAAGAGTCCCCTTACACTGGTAGACAGTGGAGAAAAACCCCCTTACATTGGTGGTGTCACACTTCCATGTGTGATGATCCGGCACCGGGTTCTACCTCCTCCGAGCTGCTCGGCTTCCTGCCAATCTACTCTGAACCTCTCCATTAAAAGTCCAGCTCACTTGTTCCACGCCGTTCGAGCAACGTGTCTTTACACCTGGATTCCCTGTTTATCGCTTGCCTTTGAAAACCCTGCGGTTTGCTTCTACCTACCTTGTTCCCTTTGTGTCTCTGGATTCCATCTTGCTCCCAGTGAGATCCTGCACGTCCAGCAAGTGGATTGTTATCATCTTCTCCTTCAGTGACCCCTGTTCCAGATAGCCTCGCTCTTCAGTGTATCCCGGATTGCCGTGTTGTTGCTGTCTCCTATGACACTATTGTTTGGCCTCCTACCCTTGTGTCCCTCAGTATCAAGAACCGCTGGCCGAAGGCCTGCCATACACCTAGCAAATGACGTCTGGGCAGGGGCCAGCGGTGATCTCATGGCTGGCTCAGCCCAGTTGTAATGACAGATCAGCATCCCCAAATGACCTGGGGAAGCTGATCTGTCATTAAACAATAACAACTGGGCAGAGCCGGCCGTGACGGGCGTTGGCCAGGACCTGCTAGAAGACTCTAGCAGCTGCCAGTCAATAGGAAACAATTAGGCGGAGCTAGCTGTCACTGCGAGCTCCGCCCAATTGTTTGATTTTTATTTCATCTTTATTTACATTTTTTAAAATATTTGTTCTACTTTTGTTCACTATTTGCTATTCTGCTCGGTACCACAGAGCTCGGCGGCATTCAGATATTCGCTCACTGCCGTTCAGCCCCTCTGTGAACAGGGGTGAATGGCAGCGAGTGAGCTGCCGGAGCTTCGGCTCAGCTGACCCAAATGTTGGTTCGGCTGAGTCGAAGTCCTTCTGCACTTCGGCTCAGCCGAACATAAAGTTTAGTGAAGGAAAAAAAAATAGCAAAAAGAATTAAAGCCCCCCCCAAAAAAAAAATTTAAAGTTACACATAAAAAAATAATTAAAAAAAAACAAAAATGTTTTAAAGTCCCCACCCATACATACACATGCAAACATGCGTCAGGGGCGCATACGTTCAAAAACAACGATTGCGCCCATTACGCCGCACATGTTACATATCAACGCGAACGTCACAGTGAGAGCAATCATTCTAGGGCCATCAATCACTGATAACACTAAACTGATGAGCTGCAAAAGCTTTTAAAGCGTCGCCTATGGCCAATTTTGGGTATGGTAGTTTTCTGCGATTTCGCGGGTGCGCGCAAATTTAAAGCTTGACATGTTTGATGTCTATTTACCCGACGTGACCCCGACTTTTATATTTTATAATATAATGTAATAATATAATGTTTCCTAACATCATGTAAAAAAAAAAAACTTTTTTTTTCAAAATTTTCAGTCATTTTTCCTAATTATAGCAAAAAATAAAACCCATAGTGGTGATTAAATACCACCAAAAGAAAGCTCTATGTGTCCCCAAAAAATGGTACAAAATTAATTTCAGTGCAGCGTTGCATGACGGAATAAATGTCAAAGTACTGCAGCGCTGAATACTGAAAAATTTCCTGGACAGGAAGGGGGTCTAAACACCTGGGGGGAATTTATCAAAACTGGAGCAGACAAAATCTGGAGCAGATTTGCACTGCAGCCAATCAGCATCTCTCTCTCATTTTCAAATCCTACCTGAGCAAACTGAAGAGAGATGCTGGTTGGTTGCCATGGGCAACTGC